CGGCTCCACCGCGGCCTTCTGGATCCCCGCCTCGGTCGCCTGAACCTTCAGCTCTGCCTTGGCCCTTCGGATCCTTGGTGTCGCCCTGGCTCTTGGTCTGCTCGGCTCCATCTGGGTCTCCACCTCCAGTGGCTCCGTCTCCATCGTTCGTCCCCAGGGTGTTGTCAAGGCCTTCTCCACCATGGCTCCTCGCTCCTTCGACTCCGTCCTGGGGCTTCATCCTGGCTGGTCTCTGGACCAACATCAAGCTCCTCCTGCTCCTGGCTTCCCCTTGGCTCCTCCCACCCTCCACTCCCCCTTGGACTCTTTTGAACTATTTTTGTTTCTGCCTTTCTCCTGCTCCACGCCCTCCTCAGTTGGACTTTGTTACGGCGCAGGGACGCGCCTTCCCGGGAGGGGTCGAACTGTTTCATGTATGCCTTGTTTTCTGTTCTCTCCATTGTGACCTAGTTTTCCTGAGTTGCCTGATTATGTCATTCAGTTCACCTGTTGTCTGTTAATCATCTCATTAGTTCCCTTTGTTTGGTTCATGCCTATAAGTCCTCAGTTCTCCCTTAGTCTTCGTCTGTCAATGTTAAGTTGGTTTCCGTGCCTGTTCTCCTGGATTTATCTGATTAAAAGACTTTCGTCCTCATGCAGTTTGTATCACCAACAGACAGATATAGAATTTTTTGGAGATTTTTTCCCCTCCCAACAACAGGCATCTTGAAACTGATCATGCCTGAACATACTCAGTCCTCAGTTGCTTCACTTTCATAATCTAAACATTTAATATTTTTCATCATTTTCCATAAAAACTATGCTTCAAGAGTAATGCAAGAGTTATGTAGCATTTTGAGCAGTTGTATCAATTGATAGATAGAACATTGTAATGAAATGAATAGACACTCAATTCAGATGTAATGCGTGAGTTGCATTTTGAAATAGTAATACTTTGATGTTAAGTTGCATTTTGAACCGGTGATTTTAGTTCAATGAACAAAAAATCTTTGGTTCATGTGTATTGTATCCAAGCATTTGGAAAAAGTGTCGTGTTTTGAAAAATGTGCATTTTGATCTTTGGTTGTGAATTATGTGGCTAGAGTTTTGAAAAATGACATGAAGATTCTGTTATTAGTGCAAAAATGATTGTAAAAAACGAAGCTAAATGCGAACAACAGACCTCTATGTTTACGGTTTGATGTCAAACCTGGGTTTTCACACTCTGTAAGTCGATCCAGTTTGCTGAATGTGGTTCATGTGTCCCGCAGGTGAAGATCTGGTTCCAGAACCGCAGGATGAAGTGGAGGAACTCCAGAGAGAAGGAGAGCACATACACACGACCGCCGATGGAGCGACTGATACGCTGGAGCCAATCTGAACCGGCGGACAAAACACACACGCCAGCACAGACCAAACACACTCACACTCACACACACTCACCGGTGCACAGCACAAACGCTGAGACCAGATGACACATCAGAGGAAAGAACAGACTGTTGATGCGAAACAGCTGGAAAAGATTTCTACGCAAAAACTGCAAATATCTAGGAATTTTACAGTTGTGATTTATAGGCCTGGAAATGTCTTTAAAAGTGATGGAAAAGTCAGAACTTTTGGCAAAACTTTACAATACGTTTCCATTTGTTAACATGAACTAACAATGAAAAAAAAAAGACTTATGAACCATGTTTTAATCATAGTTAATGTTCATTTCAACATTATGAGATACTACATCATAATTATGACATAAAAAAATCATAAATATCAGAAATTAAGTCATAACTATTAAATATACCCCAGGTTTTACAGACAAGGCTTAAGCTAGTCCCAGACTAAAATGCATGTTTGAGCTGTCTCAACTGAGAATATCTTGCTCTGACATATCTTAAAATATGTCAGTGTCATTGTTCTGTGTCAAGATGCACACCTGTAATGTTTTCTTCTAAGGCATTTTTGTAAAAGTTGCTTAAATATCTTAATTTAACTAATGTCTAGTCCTGGCTTAAGCTTTTGTGAAACCGGGCCTAAAAATCCAAATTATGAGATACGAAGCTATAACTGTGACATAAAAAGTAAAAATATGAGATACCAAGTCATAATTATTAAATTAAAAGTCTAGATTATGAGATACTAAATCATAATTATGAAATTAAAAGTCTATATTATGAGACACTAAATCATAATTTTTAAATTAAAAGTCTAAATTATGAGATACTAAATCATAATTTTTAAATTAAAAGTCTAAATTATGAGACGCTGAATCATAATTATGACAAAAGTGAAAAATATGAGATATTAAGTCATAATTATGAAATTAAAAGTCTAGATTATGAGACACTAAATCATAATTTTGAAATTAAAAGTCTAAATTATGAGATACTAAATCATAATTTTGAAATTAAAAGTCTAAATTATGAAAAGCTGAATCATAATTATGACAAATGAAAATATGAGATACTTATTCACTATTATGAAATTAAAAAGTCAGAATTATGAGATACTAAGCAAGCTGTAATTATGAGATAAATAAACAAAATTATATGAAAAGTAAAAGAAAAAGATACTAAGGGCCAGTTTTACTAAACAGGGCAAATGAGCGCGAGAGCGCAATTCCAAAACAGCGCCAGAAACAGATTTACTAACAATGCGCAAATTAAAGAGCACAGACGCAACATCTCATTTACATATCGACCAACACAATATAGCCTACGAAGCACAGCGCAAATTAGCGTAGTCGCAAATAAAGAATAAATAAATAAAGAAGCCACAGTACGTTGAAAAGAAGCTGAGGCCAAAAAATGAAGGTTTGCTAGAACACAGTACGTTGAAAAGAACCGGAGGCCAAAAAAATGAAGGGTTGCAACAATTTTTGATAGACCTGATATTGCGTGACTCCTAGTTGAGGTCTCCAAGTCGTCTTTTATTTCATGAAGCAAATTAAAAATAACATGTCTTGGCAAACGATATGTTCGGATAATGTGTTCTTCTGGCATTCAAAATAAATTAATATGTGTGGAAAAAATCCTTTCCCCTATACCATGCGCTCTCTGTTCTCTGCAGTGCCTCTCCTAGCAACAATAATTGCAGCCATTTCAAGCATAAAATAGTTTAAGACATGCTTTTTTGGGGCGTTAAATAATGGTGCAAATACCAGTAATTTGACGAGCGCAAACGTTAGTAAATCTTGTTGCGTGATTCATTTTAATTCTCTCCTCCCATAACTTTTGCGTCTCAAAGGGAAACTCCTACAAACGCATATTCAATAAGGTCAGGTGCAAAAATAACTGTGTCTTTAGTAAAACCTGACAGTACTACTTTAACGCCAAAAGACGGTTTGCGCTGGCGCAAGCTGTTAGTAAAACTGGCCCTAAATCATAATTATGAATTAAAAAGTCTAAATTATGAGATACTAAGTCATAATTATAAGATAAGTTAATTTATAACAAAAAGTTATAATTATGACAAACACAAAAATACTATATCTTATACTAATTGATAATTATAAAATAAAAGTCAAAATTATGAGATACAAAGTCATAATTATGAGATAAAAAAAATGACATGAAAAGTAAAAAAATAGATACTAAGTCATAATTATGAATTAAAAAGTCAAAATTATGAGATACTAAGCTATAATTATGAGACAAAAGGCCTCAATTATGAGATACTAAATCATAATTACTAAATTACTAACAATAAATGAACAGTTGTATTTTATTAACTAAAAGTGACAAAAATATTGTAACAAATGTATCGCACTTTGTTAGTTAATGTTAGCTAATACATTTATTAATGTTAACTAATGGGACCGTATCGTAAAGTGTTACCAACATTTCTGTACTGAATATATATTTTCAAGTTGTTCTCTCAAATATTTTATTGGCTAGAAATTGCTCTTTGTGAGTGTGAGCTCTATAAAATTGGTAAAAATATTTCCACTGAACAAGTTATGAAATTTCACTGGTTCAAAAGTGTTGTAAAATATGCCTCAATATGATGAATGTGAATAATGCTACAGCTCTTTATCTTTGCAAATGCATGTGTAATTAGGTAATTTGAATTCTCGTTACTTCTGCAATTATGGTCATTAAGCTCTTTATAAGATGCACAACTAACTGCCATAACAAGCTCAATTACATGTGCTTTTATTTTTAATCTTGCATAAAGTGTACATTGTAAATTCTGAATTATGTTTAGATGAGAAACATTGCTTTTGAAATAAAATGAGATGGAACATTTATTTCTTTTGCTTTAACATTTTGACATTCATCCTTTTGTGCAAAACTCTAATTGAAGCAACAGTTTACACACTTTCACAGAGCAACACTTGACATCTCATTTCAGACACATAAATAGATGCCAAATGAAGCCACTCGAGGTGCCAGTGAACACGAGAAACTACCCATTACACACCTGTAAACAAACACACGCCGCTCATCTGCTGTAAACGCTGATCTCCTGACAGTGGAAAAGCAGGTCAACATCTTCAAGATCACATTGCGCTGAAAATGACAACATGATATCAATCTGTGGAAGTCCATTTCTGCCATATAATAAAAAAAGCATGCTTTGGTAAATAATCATTATGACATGAATAAAAAGTTGACATTATAAGATATAAGTTAAAATTATGACATTATAAGGTAAACATTTTTTAGATATTAAGTCATAATTAGGAAAATAATCATTATGACATAAAGAGTCATAATCATTAAATAAAAATTAGGACAAAAAAGTACAAATATGAGATACTTAGTCATAATTTTGAAATAAAAACCCAAAAACACATTTGGATCCACATAGCAACAACTTAGCAACCACCCAAAACATTTACAACCACATACATACCCTAGCAACCACTGGAAACACATTTGGAACCACATAGCAACAGCCTAGCAACCACCCAAACAATTGCAACCTCATAGCAACTGCCTAAAAACCACCCAAAACACATTTGCAACCACATATCAACACCCTAGCAACCACCCAAACAATTGCAACCTCATAGCATCTGCCTAAAAACCAACCAAAACACATTTGCAACCACATATCAACACCCTAGCAACCACCCAAACAATTGCAACCTCATAGCATCTGCCTAAAAACCAACCAAAACACATTTGCAACCACATATCAACACCCTAGCAACCACCCAAACAATTGCAACCTCATAGCAACTGCCTAACAACCACCCAAAACACATTCGCAACCACATAGCAACACCCTAGCAACCACCTAAAATATTTGCAACCATCCAACACATTTACAACCAAACATACACCCTAACAACCACCCAAAACACATTTGCAACCACACAGCAACAGCCTAGCAACCACCTAAAACATTTGAAACTACATAGCAACCGCCTAGCAACCACCCAAAAACACATTTGGAACCACATAGCAACCACCCAAAACATTTGCAACCACATAGCAACACCAGAGTAACCACCTAAAACATTTGCAACCACATAGCAACAGCCTAGCAACCACCCAAAACACATTTGGATCCACATAGCAACACCCTAGCAACCACCCAATTATTTGCAACCACATAGCAACACCCTAGCAACCACCCAAAACATTTGCAACAACATAGCACAACGTAGCAAGCACCCAAAATATTTACAACCACGTAGCAACCGCCAAGCAACCACCAAAAACACATGTGGAAGCACACAGAACACCATATAAGCAGACATCAGTGAGATTCTTTCTGAATCTGTGTTCATGCTGGACAGCGTGAGAGGGTCATCATATGTTACTGTTGGCAGGTTTTCTGTCATCATGTCTCGCTCTGAATTGCAGTCAATCACATCAGAAAGGCGTAATAATGAAATAAAAAGTCTAAATTGTGATATACTGTCATACTTCTGAGATAAAAAGTCAAAATTATGACAAAAAGTAAAAATATGAGATACTAGGTCATAATAATGAAATGAAAGCCTGAATTATGAGACAGTAAGTCATCATGATGAGATAAAAATTCAAGAATATTAGATAGTAATAATTATGAAATACAAATCTAAATTATTAGACACTAAGTCATAATTATTAAATAAAAAGTCTACATTAGGAGATTCTAAGTAATTATTATATATATATATATATATATATAGATACATACGTAGACAAAATTATGACAAAAGGTAAAAAATATTACTAAGTAATAATTAGTCTAAATTAGGTCTGACAAAGCAATGACATAAAAAGTTATAATAAGGACAGTAAGCAAAAAAAAAAAAAGAGACATACTAAGTTATAATCATGAGTTTGAAAATTAAAATGTGATACTTTTTATGTCATAATTATGATTTACCAAAATATTTTTTTCTTACGTGGCGGAATGGACTTCCATATTGTTATTATTGCATCTGTAAATTACCCTAATATGAAAGCTTACTTAAATAAAACGAATAGTCACAGATAAAACATACACATTTATCAATTTATCAAACCGCTGTTGCCACAACTGAGGAAAAGCAAACCTCCTGAGACTGGATCACATCGTGAACAGCCTTAAATTGGTTTTTCATGGCTTATTGCTTTGAAAAGGATTATGAAAGTATC